ATGTCAGTGAAAATGAGCATATTAAGTATGTTAAAAACTCACACCTCTATATTTATTATATATTCTATAAAACACATAGTACAAATTTGATAAGAATATTCACGTATTATGTATATATAAACATACCCACAGTAAAATAGTTGAAAGATGAAATGACATTTAATTTTTAACTCAAGTACAGATAAGAATAATATGGGTGAATATTGTTTGGTTTCCAAGAATTTTGGAAATTCTTGGTTTAACTATTTTTGAAATGGTGATTTGACTTTGATTTTTAAATGTAAAAGGCTTTTTAAAGTATATTTTAGTGGTTCTAATTAGTTATACATGACAGTAGAATGCATTTTGACATATCCTACATAAATGGAATATAACTTCTCATTCATCTGGTTGTATTTTTAAATTTTTTTAGGAGAAAAAGTTTATTTGGGGGCTTATGGTTTCAGAGGTCTCAATCCACAGACAGCAGGCTCCATTCCGTGTAGCTCAAGGTGAGGCAGGACATCATGGCTCACATGATATCAGGAAGCAGAGAGAGAGAGAGAGAGAGAGAGAGAGAGAGAGAGAGAGAGAGAGAGAGACTCCACTGGCCAGATACAAAATGTATACCCCAAAGCCACACCCCCAGTGCCTACCTCCTCCAGCCACACAGTATTAGCCTTCACTTACTACTCAGTTAATCCATTCAGGGGATTAATTCACTGATTGGGTTAAGACTCAAATCCAATAATTTCTCCTCTGAACCTTGCATTATCTCCACATGTGAGTTTTGGGGGGGATTTACATAAAAAAGGAGAAGACCATACAAAGTTTCCATATATTTTGTATCCAATTTCTTCAATTAATCTTTTTTTTTTTTTTTTTTCTACTGGGGAATTAACTCAGGGATTTTTAACGGCTGAACCACATCCCCAGTCCTTTTAGTTTTTGAGACAGGGTCTCAGTAAGTTGCTTAGGGCCTTCCTTGCTAAGTTGCTGGCCTCTAACTTGGGATCTTCTGCCTCAGCCTCAGTCACTGGGGTTACAGGAATGGGCTACCATGCCCAGCTCTCAGTGATATCTTAATTAGTAAGGCACATTTGTTACAATTAATGAACCAGTATCCATACATTATGTTACATTAGTTATAATAATAATTAAAATCTATGGTTTATTCAGATTTCCTTTGTTTAACCTAATGTCCTTTTCTGTTCAGGATACTACTGAACAGAAATATAATAACAACATCATGTTATATTAGTTGTCAGGTCTCTTTAGGCTTCTCTCAGACTTTGTTGTTGATGATCTTGACAATTTTGGAGAGTACTGGTCAGGTATATTACAGGATGTCCCGCTAGTGGAATTGTCTGGTTGTTTTCCTCCATAATTTGTCTGGGTTTAATGGGTTTTGGAAGAAAAAAGCACAGAAGTACAGTTCCATTTTCATCAGATCATTTCATGATTCATCACTGACGTCAGGCCACATGGTGGCTTGGTGCCCGTAGTTAAGCATCCAGTCTTTACCAAAAGCAGAGTAGTTTTCCACAGAGGATGGTGGGGCTTATTTCACTGAGAGAGAAGTCTCCTGAAATTCTGAAGATTTTCCACACTCTGACAAGTAAATATATTACCGAAAAGTCCAGAGTGGTTGCTACTTTCTGCTTACCAGGACTAATCAGCATATCAATGTAACAGACTAATGTGAGGTTCTTTCTAAAGGGAAGGTGAAAGAGGCTGCTATGAGCTAAATTAGGGACCCAGAGTTGAGGGCCTGGGGCTGGGTTGTAGCTCAGCAGTAGAGCTTTCACCTAGCACATGTGAGACCCTGGGTTGGATCCTCTGCACCACATAAAAATAAATAAAATAAAGGGTTTAAAAAAACAAAACAACAACAAAAAAACAAACCCTGGCTATGTTCCAGGTAGCCATGAACTGGGGGAAGTGTCACTCTTCAACCCACTACAAAATCATACTCTTGGACTGGTGTTGTGACTCAGCATTAGAGTGCTCGCCTTGCACGTGTGAGGCGCTAGGTTCAATCCTCAGCATCACATAAAAATAAATAAATAAAATAAAGGTATTATGCCCAACTACAACCAAAAACAAAACAAGAAACAACAATAACAAAATCACTCTTAAAATCTGAAAGAAATATGTGTAGCATATATATGGACATAATACTTTTATTTTTATGTGGGGCTGAGGGTTGAATCCAGTGCCTCACATGTGCTAGGTAAGTGCTCTACCATTGAGCCACAACCCCAGCCCAGTTTTTTGCATTCTTTCCAGTTGGAAGTTCATTCCTTCTGGTTGTTTTTTCCAACAGGTATCGAGGAAAAAAAAACATCTAACAGATAAATAGCTGCATACTCAGTACCAGGAGATGTATTGATTTGTTCTAGCAATAAAATCACGTTTTCAATAAAGTAGTGCACCTGTAGCAATGAGATTGAAATATGAGACTCCAGTGTCATTTTTCCAGGACTTATGTTCCAAATAGACAAGCTGTAAAGGAATGTGGCATCATCATCTCTTCAAGTCTTTGACAATCCAAGAATGTGATATTGCTTTTGGTTTACATATCGCCCAATAAGAATTTATAGTGCTGGTATATTTCTTTTCTAGGGACACAATAATCTATTAGCCAATGACCTCACTCATCCATCTCTATGAGTAAGATGACACTGTTTTGGCTCTGCTGGCCATTACAGTAACCATGCCTACTTTTTGGCAACTAAGTGCCACTCCTTGGTTGCTCCCACTCTGGGACCCCATTATCCCCACCACATTTAGGAATCCCAGTTTGATGGCTACAGTGGCAAATGCAAGATATCATTACAGAGAAAAGTAATCTTAGATATTTTCAAGCATTCTGGGGCTTCCCGAACAAATTTATTTCTCAAAATCAAGGGGAAGTAGGTCCTACATAATAACCAAACACACCCCACCTCCCTAAGCCTTTGGATACTTTCATGTAGTCTTCCTAGGCAGTTCTGGCACTTCTACTTTGTCGTGAAGGCACTTCTGGATGGATGGAGGTCACATGAACAATGGGGTTTTCATTCAGATCCTTTTCACAGTGGGCCCAGTGGGTCCCCAAGCCCATCCCATGGTTATTTTCCCAGTTTGACAAGCATAATAGGAGAAGACACACTCAGCATATAAACACACTGTTAACACTTTTTCTAACCCTTTGAGATGAAACCTCAAACCCGGAATCTCTGCTTGGTGGATCCACATAAATTAACTTGGACTAATACAATTTTATTACCTTTCTACTTTGAGCCTTACATGTTTCCTGGGGTTGCCACAAAAAAAGTACAACAAACTGGGGGGCTGACACAACAGAAATTTATTCTCTCACAGTTTGAGGCTGGAAGTCTGAAATCATATTATTAGGAGGTCCAAGCTTCTTCAGAAGGCTCTTTGGAATAAACCTTCCTTGCCTCTTAGCTTCTAGCAGTTCCCAGCATTCCTTGACTTATAGCTGCATCACTCCATTTTCTGCTCCCTTCTCTACGTGATCTTAATTCCCTCATTCTGTCTACATCATATGACTATGAGGCCTCTAAGGACACTAGTCATTAGATTTAGGGCCCATTCTAATCGAGTATGACCTTAAGTACATCTGCAAAGACCTTATTTCCAAGGAAAATCACATTGTGAGGTTCCAGATAGCCATGAATTGGGGGGGGGGGAGGTGTCACTCTTCAACCCAATACAAAATCACACCCTTAAAATTTGAAAGAAATATGTGTAACATTCTTTTATATGTTCTGAATTTTCTAGCATGCATATTTGTCACTTTTTCAAGTAAAAGTAAAGGAGAAACAACACCCCAGAGTTCTCTGCCCCAAAATGCAAATATTCTTTCCATATAATTTTATCCTGTGACCAACATCTCCCTAAAGTTGTCTCCCAGTCTTGATAGTCTCTGATGATGTCAGGATCAAACTCCTTAATTAACGTAACATGGCTTTTCATGATTTGGTCTTCAGCATCCTTCTTCCTGTTTCATAGTCCAATAAAATTCCCTGCGACTACCGGTTCCGCCCCAGCCTCCGGCAGGTGTCTGAGCTGTCCCTGCCACACCATCCCTCCATGCTCTGGTACTGAGTTCTTGGAATGCCCACGACTGCTACTCTGTTTCTATACTACCTCTCCAGAGATGAAACACTTCACATTTTCACTTCATCTCTGAAATCTGACCTTTGCTTTTATTCTTCTTAAATGAAAATTTCCATATGAAAGAACATAACCCAAGAACACATAGTGCTACCCTTGCGCAACCGTGTCCAGATGAACCAGTTCTCCCTCCCCGCAACCGGCCCCGGAGCCCGCCACCAGCCTGCCCCCACAGCTCAGGCCAAAGCCCGCGGGAGGCCAGGGCGAGCCGCAGCACCTCCCGGTCAGCCCGCAGCTCTGGTCCAGATTCTTCCTCTTCACCCATCACAGGTGCCTCCCTTTTGGACCTAGTGCTCGCAGCCACCGGGAAAATGAACAGCAGCGACTGCACCGTGCGGGGTCAGAGCATGCGCAGGGGCCGGGGCGGTGGCTCAGCTTTCGAATGCGCACGCGCAGAGGCCGCTTCCCCCAGGACGCCCCGCCTCCGGCCGCGCCCCTTCACTAGGGGTCAAAGATCGCGGGGCGGGCCGCCGTGACGCGCGCGGAAGAGAGCCGGGACCTTCGGAAGCGGTCGGTAGTGCAGCGGTGGCGGCTGCGGCGGTGGCTGCCACGGAGGGGCGCCCCGGCAGCTGGGGCTCGGGATCGCTCCGAGCGGCTGAACCCCGTCCGCACCGCCTCCTCCTCCGTCGCTGCGGACGGCCGCATGAGTCGAGGGACCATGCCCCAGCCCGGAGCGTGGTCGGGCGCGAGCTGCGGCGAGACGCCGGCGCGGGAGGGCGGGAAGGCGGCGGCCGGCGGGCAGCCCCGGCCCGCGATGCGGTGCCCGGCCGAGCCGTGAGTGCGCGGGGCGAGGGCCGGGCGGCGGCGGGCCGGGTCCCCTGCGGAGGGCTGGTCTGGGCTCCTTCGGCGTCCTCACCGAGGAGGACACTCGGCCGGTGTCCGAGGACAGCCGTTTCCCGAGGGCCCTTCTCACAACCCTGGGCACCATGGTCTCCCTCCCCGCGCCCGGCCGTGGCATCTGCCCGTCTCTAAAGTTGAGGAAACTCCAGAAATTCGGGGAAACGACCCCAAGAAGCGTCTTATTACCAATTCCCCGTAGCCCTTTCCTCCAGCCCGGCGTGGGGAGGAAGTAAGATCGCCCCCGTCCCAGCCACAGGAAGACAGCAGCGCGACACGTTTGCTCTTGGGAGGCAAGTCGCCGCTTGTCCCACCTGTTGGACAGCCTTTGGACGCAGTCTGACCCCTTGTCGTCTTACCCTGTAACGGCCTGGCTAGTTCTCCTGTCCCTTAAAACAACGCAAGTCAGTGTGGGTCTGAGCAGTTCCCTACCCAACTGTGAGAAAAATGGCAGGGGTATGGACTTGAGGCGCACTTTCTACACTGTAGAGAAGTAGGCCTATTTAAATGCCTTTGAACTTCTGAAAATGACGAAAGCACAGACAACCAATTTGATATTTTTTAATTGGCTGGGAAATTAAATTGTAAAGCATGTTTAAATGCACCTTTAGAGCTCCTGTCTTATTCGCCTACAGAGGGGGTCTTTAGAAGCCTGCTATGTAGATAATGGTATTATAGTAACTCATTTGCATAGTGTTTTACAACGTGCTTTGGAGTGTTGAGCACTCAAGTGTGACGGTAATTATTCATTTAATGGGTTAATGGTCACTGGGAAAGATTTAGGGCAAGAGGTCTCAAACTCCAGAGGTAGGCAAGTAACTTAAGTTAGTACAATTGGCCAGGAATTGTTCTTGGGGACCTGGATAGCTTATGTCTGTTTTGGGGGCTCCAGCCTATATAGTGTTAGATCTTCTGTATCTGAAGAATCCAGATATATTGGCTTTTGAGTGAAATATCCTCATTTTTAAAAGGAGGCACTTTCTGTTTTTTCCTTTTAAATTTCAAACCACTGTAGAGACCCTTGTGGTGAGTTGATGTGGTCTGTAATTATAAGTATTCTGTTTGGGATAAAGTCCTACTCCAGACCCTGCAAAGGCTTAAGTAGGGGCTCTCTCATCTCTGCCCCTTGCCTTGGTAAGTGCTGCTGTTGCAGCAGCTGCCCACCACTAGGCTACCACCACCCTGCTTTCACTTTCCTGCTGCCCTGGGGACCCCCTCCCCCCTCAACCTTTGATGCCTTGCCTCTCAGGTGTTGTACCTCTCAGGTGTTGTTCCTCTCAGTCTTCAACTGAGCAGTGTCACACTCCCTTAGAGATGCAGAAACTTGAAAACAGACCCCTGTTTCCAAAAGTACCCATAATTATTTGGCAGGTTTTCTGATGGATGTGGTTCTCAGAGTCAGCACCTGGGGAAATGGGCCACAGTGGGAAGGAGCTCTTCTCTGAGGAAAAGGTTAGGACACAGATGCCTCTTTCATTTCTCAGTAGACTTAAAGCTGAAAGGAATAATAATAATAATAAAAAACCTAGCATAGGTTTGTCATTATACACATTAAGAAGCAGTTATAGATTCCTTAGGTGCAGCTTGGCATTGTCAGGGCCATGGATCCCTGATGCTTTGGCAGGCATCTACCCCACCTCTTCCTGGCTTCCTTAGCAAAACCATGCAGAGGTACATGATTATAATGACAGCAAGCTTCAGCCCCAATTCCCCCAGAATAGATGTTCTGGTTTGTGTTTTCATTAGCATCTTAATATCTTTTTTTCTCTTTGCTTTTTGTTGCCTTTTATTATCTCATTCCCGTTTAACTCATCACTGGGAGAAATAGGGAGGTGAGTATAACTTTCAGATGTCAACTTTTGAACATCTTAAATTTTTGGACTTTCTATACTGTTTCATCTTTCTGAATCAGCAGTGTGTAGACTTGCATGTAAATTCCTACTTGATAAATAGTTCCAGTGTAAACTTAGCATAGGGCCCTTTTAAAATCTTTTTGGTCATTGGAACCAAGCCTTTTCTTTCCACTCAGATAAGTCAAAGTGTTTGCACTGGGAACTAATAAATATAATAAACTTGCAAATGTTTTGAGATATTCCATGGAATCATTTTTAGCATATTTAGTGAAAAGTAGTTATGAATACAATTCATCTACAGCTGATTTATATATTTAGGATATGACTCTTTGGAGGGTGTGAGAGATGGCTCATTTCCTAGCAGCATAGGTAACTTTTCCCATAAGCTCACTTCATTTCACAAGGGTGAGAGGTGGGCATGTAAACTGCATGAATAAGCTGCTTTCTAAATGTCATTGCAATTTTTCTTTTTCTTTTTTCCTTTTTGAAAATTGACTCTTTTGAGAGCTGTTGGATGGCATCTCCTGGACAACCCCCAAGATGGCTCAGAGGGTACTTTAGGGTTCCATTTGAAGAGGTCTTCAATAGTCTCTTAGACCATTAATGGACTTTCTGGAAGTTCCTACTGCTCTCATTAGCCAGGTCTCTGTTCTTTCTCCTGCTTATCCCACCACCAACATTTGATTCTTGTGTCTGCCTCTTGCTCTTAGCTCAGGTAAGCCACACTGTGGTTCTTGAGAACATGGTTGATATCCAGACCAGAAATGTTTAGGGAATTGAGAACAGAGACTACTCCATGTCCCTTCTTAAGTTGTGTGAGGGTGGGACAGGGTTCGAATCAGGGATTCATGGGCTGGCTATGTTGAGAAGCATACTGTCTGTGAAGCCCTATGAAATCGAAGGCAAAATTTGTGAATATTTCTGGCCCAAGGTTTCAGTTACAACTAGATTCTTAAAGGGGCTGTGAGCTCTGCTTCCCCACTACCAAGTATTAAACCGTTGGTCTGTTTTCTCCTTTCACCTTGTGTGGGTGGAATGAGGTAAGTGTGGTAGGGTAACAACTATCACCTCTCACTCCCTCCACCTAATGAAGAGTCTGCTTTAGGGATCAGAGCTAGGATGTCTCTAAGAATCAAAACTCATTGTTGAGGGTGGCTGCTTTGTCCTCATATGCCTTTGGAAGTCACACAGGACAGCTTGAGCCTGTCATGGGAAGTCCACTTGCAGAAGAGGGGTGGAATTTTGGCCTGGGTGCTGGTACTTCCCTGTATTTGATGTGATGGTCACCCTTTTCTGCAACCACTAAGTGGTGAAAAAAGGTTGGTTTAAGTGGCCTTTGCTTCTCCTGTGCCTGTGTGGGAAGGTATGTCACATTGGTTGGCTATGTTTCACTACCTGACCCTTTAGTCTAGGACAGGCCAAGTTAATGCAGGACTGGAATTCAGAGGGCTGAACAAAGCTAAACTCAGTTCTTTTAGATAACCAAGGCATCTTGATGCAAAGGTTCATACTGGTGAGTGATTAGGATTCTGTCTTAGTAGCTTTGTGTAGACTTTAGAGTTGTTTTCATGTTACATGTTTACTTGAATCAAATTGAAAAATTGGCTCTACAGGATTGTCTTTTGCTTCACTGAGCTCTGCTTTTAATTTGCAGGTTTTCTTGGAAATAGTATAATTTTGACTTTATAATAGTGAGCATTATAAAATAAGTCTTCAAAAGTTTGTGTGGTGGTCTTTGAACAGAGCAAGAGCAGTTATAATTTAGTATGCATTGCCATGTAGCTTACTCAATTTGGTATATTGCCTTAATAGTAAGAATAAGATATTTAGCTTACTAGAAAATTTGCAAATTCTGTTTAATGGGAACTTTAAAAAATATAATGTCATGATGCTATACTCAGAATTTTCTAACTAGGAATTATTAGTATTTGGTTTTAAAATTTAATCTAACAATGTAATTGTGACTTGCAAGCCAGGAAATTCGGGTCATCTAAGACTTTATTTTACTTTCCTCTACCACTTTTCCAACTATGTTTTCTAAAAGAAAACTTTTTGTTGTGATCATCTGAATCTTTAGGCTTCATTGGCCTCTTTTCTGCCATGGTGGATACCTCCCCACCCCCACCCCAATACTTATGCAAAAAAAAAAAAAAAAATCTGCCAGATTTCTGAAACTGTTTAGCATTTATGAATTTATCTTGTTGTATCCCCTTTCCTTTCATTGCTTCACTGTCTTTCCTTCCTATAACACAAATTCAAACTAAACCTCTATTTCAGATTTCCAGCTTTAAATATAATTTTATTTTGCCATTATTTTCAGCTTTAATATTTTGATACTTAAATTAAAGCAAAAGTTTGAATTAAGTATTTTTAAAATTAGTTTTATCTTCCATTCTTGTTAGCCTTATATTAGATGGGTAATTACTTCATTATGGCTGTTGAATTCCTTCCTTTCTGTTGATTGGATTTTATTACTTGAATTTAAAAGTTATCCTTTTTTGCTGGGCATGATAGGGCACACCTGTAATCCCAGTGGCTTGGGAACCTGGGGCAGGAAGATCACAAGTTCAAATCCAGCCTCAGCAGTTTAGTGAGGCCCTAATCAACTTAATGAAACCCTGTCTCAAAATAAAACATGAAAAGGGCTGGGGATGTGGTTCAGTGGTTAGGCACCCCCGGATTCAATTCCTGATACCAAAAACAACAATAACAAAAAAACCTTATTTTTTCTCCAAGGAGATAAAACTTTGGGATTTTTTAAAGACTATATTACAATTTCCATACTGTTTGGTGACCAAGGAAGTTAGCTATATTCCTACACAGGCTCTGAGTTAAATCCAGTTGTGGCTAAAATAATTTGCATGTACTCTGGGCCTTGTATTCATCAGTTTTTGATTTGCTTCTTTTGAATACTGTGTCCCGAATCACTGCTTTTTGTTTCTAAAAATCTCCCTTTCTGTACTGTCTTCTCTTTGCATTTAGTTATCCTGTTCTGTTTCCTTTCATTTTCTTCCTGTTGGCCTTTGTAGGAATTGTTGGGGTGTACAGTAAGGTGCTTGTTTAGAAAATCTCCTCTGGGCACTGATGTCTGATTACATTTTTTGTTATTTTGTAGATTAAAAAGGAGGAGGACCAAAGCAGAGCCAGATGTGCATGCAGATTAGCCACAGAACTTGTTTGAAGTCTGTAGAAGGAAGACCTAGAAGAGGAATCATGTTGATTTTATAGCTCTCCTCTAGTCTTTCATTTTGAAGATGAGAAAATTAGGGCAAGATTGGGGAAGTGCCTTCCCCGAAGACATATTTCTGATAATGATATTTAGAAAGTGATTCACTTAAATGATTTTTCCAGAGGATCAGAGTTTCTCTTTTATCAGAGTTTCTCTGATACAACTAGCAAGGAGGCAGAAAAATGTTAAATTTTCAAGAAAAGAATGAACACGATTGGTCATTTTTGTGTTTTAGATCTTGTGAATCAGGTTTCTGTTTGCTTTTAACTCTGGCATAGGCTCCAGAAGTGATGTTACATTTTTCTCTTGAAATCTCACTGGAGTCAGAATACAAGGAAAGTACCCTTTCCATAATATTTGTTCCCTCACCCTCAAAACCTTAAATAACACACACATACACACATTTATTTGGAGAGGAAAAAAATGGAATAAAGAAATGATCATTGGGCAAATTGCTTATTAATATTCTGCACCAGTGAATGTATGAGAATTAATAAGAATAGCTAACTTTTTTGAGTACTAATTATTTTACATGTTTTTACTCCTCACAATAGTCCTTTGAAGTGAATTCTCTTACTATCCTTTTTTATAGGAGGTTAAACTTGGACAGTAAGAGGTGAAGTTACCACAGTAATCACTGTACATACGGATGGAGTGAAGGGCGGTTAAACTTGTGACAGTCTGATTCCTAGGTCCCCACTCCATCCATTGCTCTCTGCAGAAGGCTTACATGGCTAAGAGGCAGGTCAGGAGTATGAATTGTTCAAGAAGAGAGAACCCCTGGAGCAGATCATAGGTTTAAAAGTGCAGGGTGCAGGCTGAGGTTGTGGCTCAGTGGCAGAGTGCTTGCCTAGATTGTGTGAGGCACTGGGGTTGATTCTCAGCACCACATACAAATAAATAAAAAATAAAGGTCCATCAACAACTATTAAAAAAAAAAAGTGCAGGAAAGTTGCAGGTGTTGGTCAAGTGTTTGGAGTGAAGGGAGCATAGTGCCTAGTAGGGTAATGGAGTCCAGGCTAGAATAGAGTGGAGGATGAAGTGCGGATTTTGACATTGTCCCCCCAGTGTTTGAGAACCATTGAATGATTTCAGCAGAGGCAGTTAGACTCCCACTTCTGTCCACCTCTCCTAGCATTTCTTCTTTCTCTCTCTGGCCCTCTTTTCCCCTCAGCTGTTCTAGGTGGTCAGGGCATCTTAGTCATTCACTTACATTTTTTAGCCTGCTACAGCCTCCTTCCTGCCTTTCATTGTGCCTGGAATGCTGCCTGCCACCGGCTTGTGTGGGGATGGCATGTTCTATGGTTGTGAGGAAGTTGGGCGGTCTGAGTGTTCCTTATGTGAGTGTCAGCCAGTCTCCTTGTTTTTAGCTTAGTGTGTTCTCCATACCCTCAGAAGGACTTTAGGGACTCCAGTTTCAGAGTTTTTCTGGGGTTCTGTCCTGTTTACTAGCTTGCTTTCCACAGATATCCCTCCACCAGCCTTGGGCTTCCTTGCCAGGGTCACTTACCAATCTGCTTTTCAACACTTTGGTCTTTCACATGTCTTCTGCTTTCAGCAAAGATGGGGTTGGTGTTTCTATATCCTTTGTCCTTTTGGGTGTTCAGCTGAGAATCTTGAGGGAGATAGCGGACATCAAACCAGGGGTCTTCATTTTTCTATTATGTTCTTCATTTTTTCTAGTACCTAGTGGAATTATGTCCCTTTCTAGTACTTAGTAGATTCTTTTAGTTTACCATAGAGACTAGAGACACTTCAGGAAGCTGTTATGTGAGTAAAAAGTCCATAGTAGAAATAGTAAAATGAAAGCATGTCGAACACTACAGAACGTAGGTGGCTGTTTGAATGTGGGAGTTAGGGAGCAGGAGGAACCTTAAGGGGGATTGTTAGCTTTGAAGATTTGTAATTGATGTTCTCCTATCACTAGTTTTAGAGTAGCTATTGTTATATTTGCTTGTGACATGTTACAAAGGTTGGTAATTCGCCTGCATGCTTATATTAGCACTCTTCCCATCCTAAGAACTTGAGAGAATCATTTTGAAAGCTTCACTGATAAGATGCATGCTAAGATGCCTAGATGTACATCTGAGACATTAATAGACATTAATTGAAATGGCCTTAGGACCATGTTGCTGGTGAGTGATGTACATTATAAGAAATTCTGAAGTAGAAGACAGTGGTGAGATAGAAACATGAGCATCTAAGATATAGAACCCATATTTGATCAGATTGCTACTATGTAATGTGAGAAGAGTTAAGCTTTTAGTGTCCCATGCATTTTGTAAGCAGCTGTAGGTTGTGATACATCAGAATACATCAGTGCAACAAGTGTTTTGAAAATGTCTACTTTGGTGTGATTTCAGCGAGGAGGACATGTACCGTGCTGCAGATGAAATAGAGAAGGAGAAAGAATTGCTTATACATGAAAGAGGGGCATCAGGTATGTTTGGAATTGTTTTATTTATTAGAGTCCTTACTGTTTATACTAGAACATGCAGTTAAATTGGTATAGCCATATTCATAAAATCTGGACATGCACTTCCTAGGAAGTATTCTTACAAGTATGGTCTTACGTACACTGATTATTGTTGAGGTATGTATGTTTAGGGAAGACTGTTTCCTGAGGTTTCAAAATTTCAATGCACGTATTCTCTCTGCATTCTTTACATTCATGTCATTTTTTTGTTCCTGTAGAGGATTATTTTAATCTCCTGAAACTACCTTCTCTTTTTTATTTCATTACATTACTAGGAGAGTTTGACTTTGAAATGGATTTTTCATTTCTAGTTGAAGCTAGCTGTGCACATCTTTGCATGCAGATGGCCATGTAAATCTGACTGACTAAAAAGAATGGTTACTGAATAAATAGTGCTAACTCTCTTGTTTTGTGATTTCACATCATCCATGCTTCTTATCTATCAGGCCTGCTCTTTTAACCTTCACTAGGGCCCTTTCCAAGGGAGAGATGCTTCTCCTAGCCCCTTTCACTGGTCCATGGAGACTTGGCCTGCAGGGCTGTAAGTGAAGTAGATCCTGTGCCAGCAGGCCTCATACAGAAGCCAAGTGGGGATACTCCTCAGATAATTCACAAGTGACATTTTCTCTTTCATTACCTGTGCAATTCAGGTGTTCTATTGGTTTGTTTTGAGAACTGGCTTCTGCTTATTTTATGGTTAACAAAGCATTATCATTGTAATTAGGAACAAATGATACACAGTAGGGTTATTTTAAAATTGTTGAATTATAATTATCCATAATGGGATTTGATGTTACATATTTTTACATGCACTCAATATAATTTGGTCATATGGTTCCCTAGTATCTCTTTTTTTCCCTCTCTTTCTCCTCTTCCCTGGTTCTTTTCCCTACTATACTGGTTTTCCTTCTGTTTTCATGAGAACCCCTCCCCCTTTTCCTATTTGTTTCTCTCTAGCTTCCAAATATGAGAGAAAACATGGATTCTTGACTTTCTGAGTTTGGCTTAGTTTGGTGTCAAGTTTGCATTTTCCTGAAAATGACATAATTTCATTCTTCTTTATGGCTGAGTAAAATTCCATTGTGTATATATACCACATTTTTTTTATTCATTCATCTGTTAATGGACACCTAAGATGGTTCCTTAATTTGCCTATTGTGAATTGTGCGTCTATAAACATGAGTATGCATGTATCGCTCTAGTATGCTGATTTCCATTTTTTTTTTTTTAGGATAAATATCAAGGAGTGGTACAGCTGAGTCATGATGGTTTCATGATTCCAGTCCTAGTCTTTTGAGAACCTCCATGCTGATTTCCATGGTGGCTGTACTTATTTATAATCTTACCAATAATATAAAAGTGTTCCTTTTCCATTACATTCTCCCCAGCACTTATTGCTTGTATTATTTGTGTGTGTGTGTTTGTGTTTTGTGGTGCTGGGGATTGAATCCAGGGGTCCTGTACCTCTAAGCTACATTTTTCCCTTTTTAAAAATTATATATTTCGGACAGGGTTTTGCTAAGTTGCTGAGGTTGGCCTCTAATTTGCATCCTTATCCCTCAGCCCCCCCTAGTCACTGGGACTATGCTGATGTTTGTGTTCTTTGTGACTACAATTCTAACTGGAAAGAGATGATATGTCAGTGTACTTTTGATTTGCATTTTCCTAATGGCTAGATGTTGAACATTTTTTTCATGTATTTGTTGACTGTTTCTTCTTTTAAGAAGTATATAGTTAGTTAATTTGCCCACCTATTGATTGGATTTTTTTTTTTTTTTAATGATGCTGTTTGAGTTCTTTATATATTCTGGATAAAATCCTCAGAAGAATAGCTGGCAAAGACCTTCTCACATTCTGTAGGTTCTCTGTTGACTCTCTCTCTCCTTTTTTTTTTTTAATTTTTTTTGGTTGTTGATAGACCTTTATTTTATTTATTTGTATGTGGGCAGAGAATTGAACCCAGTACCTCATACATGCCAGGCGAATGCGCTACCGCTGAGCCCCAGCCCCAGCCCCTCCGTTGACACTCTTAATTGTTCCTTTTACTGTGCAGAAGCTTTAATTTGATGCCATCCCATATATTAATTCTTGGTATTATTTTCTGAGCTTTAGAAGTGTTATTGAGGAAGTCATTGCCTGTACCTGTGTGTTGTTGTGTTGACCCTGCATTTTCTTCTAGCAGTTGCATAGTTTCTGTTCTAATTCTTAGGCATTTGACCCACTTTGAGTTGACTTTTGTGCAGGGTGAGAGATGGGGATCACGTCTCATTCTTCTACATGTGGATAACCAGTTTTCCCAGCATCATTTGTTAAAAAGGCTGTCTTTTTTACTGACATATGCTTTTGGTGCCTTTGTCAAGCATTCTGTGACTCTATCTGTGTGGGTTTGTCTCTGTGTCTTCTATTCTGTACCATTGGTCTGTATATCTGTTTTTAATGTCAGTACCATGCAGTTTTTGTTACTATAGCTCTGTAGTATAATTTGAATTTGGGGATTGTGATGCCTTCAGCAATTTTTTTTTTTTGCTTAGAATTGCTTTGGCTGTTTGGGGTCTTTTATTCTTCCAAATGAATTTTAGGACTGTTTTTTATAGTTCAGTGAAGAACATCATTGGTATTTTGATGGGGATTGCACTGAATCTAAATATTGCTTTTGGTAATATGACCATTTAAATAGTATTTATTCTGCCTATCCATGAACATGGGAGGTTTTCCCATCTCCCAGTGTTTTCTTCACTTTCTTTCTATAGAGCTCTATAATTTTTATTGTAGAGATATTTTACCTCCTTGGTTAGATTTATTTTAATTATTTTATTTTGTTTTGAGACTGTACACAGTAGGGTTTTTGATAATTTCTGAGTCTTCCTCCTAAGAAGTTGGTGACTCTTCCCTGTAGTCAAAGGAGATGTTTTTTGAAGTGGTCCTGACTTGTTCTTGGTACTCATAAGACTTCAGAGGATGGATGCAGAGTCCTTTTAGCCATATTTTTAAGGAAGATGCATATTCAGCTAGTGTTTTCTCTTCCCCTTTCCACGTTCTTTCTGTTATTGTTCTCCACACAGTCATTCAAGCTTTTTAGTGGGTCTTGTAACTTCCAGCTTTAGTCTGGGAGTAAAATGGATCCCTTTATACTCCTTGCATCTCAGTTCTTCGGAGTTCATTGCCCTTCCTGAAATAACATCCTTCTGTAGTGCTTCCTCTCCTGAAGCAAAGCCCAGACTGAGCCAGAAAGTTTTCTTATCCTCTCCTTTTCTGTTGAAAACTCTTCACCTGGTAAAGGGCTCAGCAAATTGTGGCTCACAGCTCAAACCTGACCTGCTATATGGTTTTTTTTTTTTTTTTTTTTTTTTTTTTTTTTTTTTTTTTTACTATCTGGTTTTATAATGAAGTTTTATTGAAAGTTTTTAGTGAACCTATTGCTTTTGTATCTTTCATGCATGGTGAAGTTGTGTTGTACTGACAGAGACGTTATGGTCCTTAAAGCCTGGGTTACTTCCTTTCTGACTCATTCCAGAAAAACTTGGATATTCCTGTCCTAGTCCATGCTGAGAGTCCCAGCTGCCTGGAGGGGTTTCAGTATTAACTTCTTACCTTCTGAGTGTCTGAGTCTTATATTCGTCACTCATGTGGTAGTTAGGAGCAGACTTGCCACTCTGGTTTTCAGCTTTCCTTGTTTTTATTTGTTGCCATTAGAAATGTTCTTTCCTAGAAACAACAATCATAGTCTGTACAGTTTGCAGGTAAAGAAAGGGAGTATGGTACTCAGTGAGCTGCTTGAGGTCTGGCACTGCCTTGTCCTTGCCTCCAGCTCCTGGCCTAGTACATGGCATGAAGCAGCAGTTGGAAGTCCCCCCCGCCCAAGAGAACAATAGCCAAATGGGAATTCAGGTAACATTTTGGTGCTGCCAACAGTGCAGGTACCCCATTTTCCCAACCCTCACTCCCCATGAAATCCTGTATTGACATCAGATGGCTTGGTCTGCTCGCTTCAGTCCTGAGGTGGTAGGCCTGCCCCACTTGCCCAGAGGGCCAGGTCTTGTCTTTGTGTGGGATTGAGGACAGCAATGGGGAGAGCAGGAAGGGAGACTGCCTAGGAGTGTGCACTCTGTTCAGGCTAATAACCCTGCCAGGCGGGAGCATAAGGCCTAGAAAGTACCCCGGCTCTACATTTATAGTTCTTGTTTTTTGGGAAGGTGAGTGGAAAGACATTTGCATGAATTTAAAAGATGAAGCGTCTTTGCTAAGGATTGACTGTGCAGCACTGGTGTTGGTTGTCTACAGATATTATAACTAAGGGGTCTGTTTCACTTTTGAGCTAATCCTGGCATGTGCTACAGTTAACCATATCTGTTTATGTGAATAAATATAATTTCCCTTTTTATGTAAAATAATTTTCTTTATAGAAGGATTCACAATGAGATTTTAAAAATAGGCAGTTTTTAAAGTTTACTTTAAAAAAATTGTTTTACTTAAACTGTAGGGGGGATGCTCCTTGATCATCTTGGTACCATCACACTCTGGCTTGTAAATGCCTGTGGTCTTTTCTTCTTCAGTAGTCTGTAAGTCTGTTCAGGGTAGAACTTCTGTCTTTATTGCCTTTATATAGACAGTTCCTAGCTTGGTGCTTGGTACATGCTAGACACCTAGTGAATTGAGTTGAATGAAACAATTTTAATTTTTATGCAAAACTTCCTCAGGTGTAAAAATGTTTTGAGGTACTTGTGGGTTTATGTCCTAAAATCATCATTAATATCTTCAATAACTTAAAAAGAAAGTCAAGATGTACCTGAGAATTCCCCTCATTTTCTTCCTGAAAAATACATGTTAACATATGCATACTCATACACCACAAACTCAAACCCCAAACTTTTTATGTTAAGGAAAATCTAAAGACTTTTTTTAAAAACTTTTAACATTTGTATGATCATGAATTATATTTTTAATTTTTGGGAATGTGTAATTAGTCAAATGAGGTCTACGAATCAACTAATGGTGAGAGTTCCATTGTCTGGTTTATTGTCAACAAATAATAGCCTTTTGGGATCAGGGCAGGGTATAAATAAATACAGATAGTTAAGTGATATTTTTGTTGTAGTATGTTATCTTTTTGCATAACGGATATAAAAAACAGGGCTGGGGCTGTGGCCCAGTGGTAGAGCGCTTGCCTCGCATCAGTGAGGCACTGGGTTTGATCCTCAGCACCACATAAAAATAAACAATGATATTGTGTTCATCTACAACTAAAAAAATATTTTAAAAAAGATGGAATCAGGGGCTGGGGTTGTGGCTCAGCAGTAGAGCGCTTGCCTAGCACATGCAAGGCCCTGGGTTCCATCCTCAGCACCACATAAAAATAAATAATTAATTTTTAAAAAGAACCTTAAAAAATGGAATCAGTAAAATTATTTTTTTATAGTTCAGACTGTTGTCTTTGATTAGAACAGTATTCACAGACCCCTGTGGGTCAGTGCAGTTTCAAGTGCTGAGGACACAGCTGGGAAGCAAAACAAAGCTCCTGCCTTCAAGGAGCTTATGTTCTACTGTGGATAGGTGTATGTGGGACACAGAAAAAGAAATATGTCAGGAGTTAATATTTCTAAGAAGAAAACCAAAATGATTTTAGAGAATATAGAGCAAAGGGCTGTGATATTCTGATACAGGGCATCAGATAACCTTGAAAACCTGCATAGAAAGGAGTGGGCAGCCCTGAGGGATAGGGCACAGCTTTCCGGAAGAGTATTAGGGGAGGTTGTAGGGTGAGGCAGGAGCAGAGTCAGTTGGGGGAATGGAGGAAGCTGAGGCCAGAGAGGCAGTCAGGAGGGTGACTCCTTACTTAAGTGAGGAGTGAGACGGGGCCCCCTGGAGCTCTCTGAGCTCGAGTGAGGTCATCTCCCCGTAAGTGGAGAGTGGTCCAGAGTTGTGGTGACAAGGGAGAACCATCGAGAGACCTCCATGGCTAACTAGGGGTGAGATGATGGTGGTCTGGACTAGGTGGGTAGGCACTAGTAGAATTCTGGATTTTGAAAATGAAGTGAGAAAGTGAGCAAGGAAGGGTGACCCCCAAGTAATTCAGTATTTGAATTATGCTTTGGTTTGCTACTTTTTTTCTTTTTGATTTTTTTAACAGAACCCAGATTAAGTGTGGCTCCTGAAATGGATATCATGGACTACTGCAAAAAAGAATGGAGGGGAAATACACAGAAAGCAACCTGTATGAAAAAGGTACAGTAGAGATGCCCATATTTCAGGTCTTTTAAATAGTCTCTCATAAATTATGTCATTTTATATTTTTAGACATTCATTAAGACAACTGCTATTAGACTTGGTAAATACTGGTGTTCTAATTTTAGAAATGAGGAACCAGACTCCATGGATAGCACCTTGTTTGGAGTCACAATATTATTATAGAACATGCATCACTTATTCAGTAACTTAATTTCTTTGAAAAACTCTTAAATGACTGTGTTACTCAGATTTGGGTGAGTTTTAGGGCCATTTGAGAATGCCCTTATTAGCCTGGTGTTATAAAAGCCTTAAGGATAAGGGCAGGCTAATTCCATACCCTTTGGGTCTGGTCAGATGCTCTCTAATCCTAGGGGCCTAGAAACCTCTTGTATACCTTGAAATGGAGGATCTGGAGTAGTTTCCTTCATTAGTGTTTCCCAGGAGCTGCCCCTTCTTAGTTCCATTGCATAAACTGGCAACCTTAACGTATTCTTCAAAACTATGGGACTGATCTTGGGGACTCTAACATTCTTTATTAGGTCAAACCATGTGGAATTATTACTACTATTTGACGATGAGCTACAAAAACAGCAGTGTCAGCCAGGCGCCTTGGTGCATGCTTGTAATTCCAGCGGTTCAGGAGGCTGAGGTAGGAGGATTGTGAGTTCAAAGCCAGCCTCAGCAACAGCAAGGTACTAAGCAACTCAGTGAGACCCTGTCTCTAAATAAAATATAAAAATAGGGCTGGCAATGTGGCTCAGTGGTTGAGTGCCCGAGTTCAATCTTTGGTACCACCTAAAATTGGGATTTAGGTGTCCACCTAAAATTGGGATTGTTTACGTTATAAATTCAAATGTACTTCTTGTGTATTAGGGGTATGAATCCTATTCTATTTGATAGAAATGTCTTAATTTTTTTGTTCAGAACTTCCTTGTTTAGAATTTAAATTTTTAAGCATATGAATACATTTATTCTTTTCCTTATAGCTTCTTTTTCTAGAAATATTGCTCATCTTTAAGTATGCCCCCTGTTGCTTAGGGGCTTTTAGTCAAATGTGGCTGCCACTCATAAACCTCTGAGAGCAAATGGTGAGCCCTGCTTCTTTCAAGTCTGGTACAGACTCTGGTGTTTTAGATACTTATTAGTGTCCTCAATCACAAAATATTCAGGGCTCTCAATTCATGCCCAGGTTAAAAATATGTATACTATATTTGCCCTGTACCAGACTAGATAACCAAAAAACTAGATATCTAAACTATATTTTCTCATCTTTCCCAGAAATGTCTCTGACTCGTAATTTTATTTTGTGACTTCAGTCTCTCCATAGTGTCTCTTTAAATAGTTATCATCTTAAAGTCCATTATTAAAGATGTTCGAGTTACCCAAATATTCCATATTTTGGAACTTGTACTAAAATTATTTCTCTATGGGATTAATTCTAGGGAAAGAAAAGATTTGATTTCTGACCTCGTTTGAGGAACATCTCATCAGGACTTGTGGCTTAATTAGAGCATGGTAACTAGGGTGCCTGGCAATACTTTGGTCTCAATTTTATTTTAGTTCTTATTTGCTTAATTGTCTAACTTTTCGTTTGGATACTTTGGATATAAATGTGTATAAATCTAAATTTAATTTTAAAAGTTTGATTCTTCTCTAAAATACTGTGATTTTCTGTGCTTTTGGGAAGGTATGGTTGCAATTGCATCTGCCATGGTAAATATTCCTGGGATAATTGGGGGTCTGTCAGAGGGAACTGGTGCATATTGGTAGATGTGAGTCGGCCTGATGGTTATTATATGTTGTACTGGTTGGATCACTAAGTACAAATGCAACTTTCAAATTTTCATTATTGGAAAGAAGTCCTTTCATTTTCACATAGAATGGCATCCTAAAACACAAACTTTGAAAACAACTACTAGAAAGGTTCTAGTTCTTAGACACCCAAAATGAGGGGTCTGCATTATGCCTGCTCCAGTGTGATACCTCTTTCTTTGTGTAAATGCAGGGTAGCAAGTAGAGTTTCAAGTGACTGTCAAGAACAGGACAAGTGAAGGGGCTAACTGGACTTGGGGTCAGCAGAGTCAGTCCTGGTGATAACAATGTTCAGCTGAAGAAATCAGGACCTCATGTAAGCCTATAGACCTAGTCACCAGGACTTTTTTGAAATACGCTTCAAAATGGTTTATTTGGATGGCTGTTTTTGAGTGCCCAAGCATGGCACTGAACATTTTCATTTCCTTGTTTTATTTTCAGACGGAGCAAGAGTGACACTTCAGTTTACTTGGAAAAAAAAAAAAAAAAAGGTCTCGGGCTGGGGTTGTAGCTCAGTGGTAGAGCACTTGCCTTGTATGTGTGAGGCACTGGGTTTGATCCTCAGCACCACATAAAAATAAATAATAAAGATATTGTGTCCAGAATAAAAAAGGTCTATCAGATTATTCAGACATTTCCTAGCATGTAGATTTTTACACACACATTCATACACAGTCATGCACCCCATAACAATGTATTGATCAACAACAGACCACATATATAATTAGGATCCTGCAGGATTATAAAAGAGAAGAAATTAATATGAAGGAAAAATTCACCTCACCCATTGATGTATCTGTGGTATATGGCGATACACTGCATTACTCAGATGTTTCGTGATGCTGATATCAACTAACCTAGTGTACTGCCAGCCATATGAAAGTATTACACATACATTTGGGTATACTACAAAATACTTGATAATGGTAATTTGTGACAGTTACTGTTTGACATATTTATTTTATTATTTGCTATACTTTTGATCATTAATATTTAGAGTGTTTACCATAAAACAGTTTGCCATGTTATGACAAAAGCAGCCTCATATTTTTCATGTTTACTGACTCTACATTGCCTCATTTACTCCTGTGCTTAATTTAATCTCATCATGGCGTTTAAGCATACAGAATCCACCGCTAATGTTGCCAGTAAGAGGCCGTATAGCCTAGATGTGTAGTGGGCTATACTGTCAAGGTTTGTGCAAGTATATATGATGCCTGCATAGAGATAAAGTTGCCTAGTGGTGCATTTCTCAGAATGTCTTCCCATCATTAAGTGACAGTAATAAGAAGGAATTTTAATGTCTCACAAAGGATTTAGCCAGTCTTGTTTTCATTTTTCCAGTGATCTGGAATAGGATAATTTTTTTCCCCACAGGAATGGAACTCTTCATGCTCTCTGAAGCCAGTGACCACCATTTAAAATTCTTTGATACTTTCTCCCAGGGCTATGAGGAGGTTTCTCAGAAATTCACCTCCATAAGGCGAGTCCGTGGTGATAATTACTGTGCACTGAGGGCCACACTGTTCCAGGCAATGAGCCAGCTGGCTGCGCTTCCCCTCTGGCTGCAGGATCCGGAGCTCACGCTGGTACGCTGCTGCTACAGGTTTGAGTCTGCAGTGTTTCAGAGAGTTTTTGGGAGACTTCCCTTTGTTGCTCATGCTATCTGCTGGTGTCTGTAGGATGGCATCAGCATGTGGGTTTATTCAAGTTTTTGTGTCGGGTATGATTTCACATAGTAAAATAAACAGAAATAATTGGTATCTCCCAGAAGAGAAAATGATAAAAGTTAATTTAAACAATTCAGCTGAATTAGAAAACAGATGTTTAGATTGCATAAAAATCACTTAGGAACAGTTTAATTTCATTATTGATGTTTATATTACATGGGCTGTATATTTTACTAATTGAGAACCTACCAGGGTTTTAGAGTACACATTTCTTTCATTTTAGCTGCAGTTCAAGGAATAGTGCTCTCTGCATGGTGGGTGATATGGTTAATATCACATGGGGAGAAGCTCCCAGGCCTGGCCTTCTTTAGTATTTTAAATCTTCTACATGATAGAGATATACTGGGATCCAAGGGTTCGTGTGTCTTGACACAAATAAGATCACATAATAGGAATGATTGGTCAGAACAGACTGACATTAATTGGAAGAAGATCTAAAGTTCTGTGCTTTAAAAAAAAAAAAAAAATCACCCCAAACCCTGAAGTGCTCTCTGTGGGAGACCTGCCTAAAAGCAGTTTATGAAGGGGAAAGAAAGATATTGGGATGTTAATGAATCGTGAGCCCACTGTGCACCCATATGAAGTGTGTTGGCCAGCAGTGATAATAAAGCCCTGGCTGCACTTTAAAAGGAAGGCTTCTAAAAATCAAGGGGTAACAGCTCAGCTGTGAACTGGGCTGGTCCATGCCTATTGTGTGGATGGGGTTGAGTTGTGCCTATATCTTCAGTAGGAGATGAGAATGTGACCAAGATTGACTCATCTCATTCTGGGAATAGAAGAAGATTAGGATAAAGTATACTTGTTTAGAATAAAAATAACTTTTAAAAGAAACTTGTTGGTGGCTAAGCTAATAAGAACTGTTTTTGGTGGATAAGGGATCATATGTCTCTACAGGACAAAACCAGGACTGGTGGAGGATACCAGCTATCTGCTTCATGATGATCTATTTTATAAACCAATATACAATCAGCACACCTATTGAAACTGGCAAACTGACATCTGGGAAAGATATTTATTTCTAAGCAAAGACGTCACCTTAAGCAGATTTTTTGGTATTAGCTTATTATGTCTTTGTGAAGATTCCAAAACAAATTGATACACTAAGCTATTTTTTTTTCCTTTGCACATGATGACATTTATTAGTAGTGAACTGAGTTCACTTTCTGTGGGGTGTATTTTAACTTATGTGCTGTGTGGTCATAGCTTAATTTATATATTACAACAAAATCCTCTTTCATGTTACATAGGTTTCTTGTTGAACCTTTAACCTTTAAGAGACCTTTACATTTATAGTTCTTGTTGGCATTGAATTTGAAGTCTTATACTTTTCAGGAATCTCTGGCACAAAATTGTGCTAAGTAATTAAACATATGAAGTATACCCTAAAAAAAAAAAAGTAAAGCACAATGCCCTGACAGGCTATACTTGGATAATACCACTTGCTGTATTAAAAATAGATGGTGTTCTGTCTATGATCAGTATTAGAATATGATGCGTGTGTTGTTTTCCTGACTTAATTTGAATACTGTGAAAGAGCTTTAAAATTCCTAGTTTCTCTTTCTAATTTCTTCCATTTTCTCTCTGTATAAGCCAGTATATTTTTCCCTTGGGAACACAGTCTAATTATTTGTTCATAGGGGTGGTATTTCTTCATCTAAGCTTTGTTGAATGCTGAGAGGCCTGTGTCAAAGAGAAAAGGTTCATTCTACCTGCCTGTGAGTTCAGTATTTACATTTATTGAACTTTGGTTCTGCTGACTGTCCACTGAAAACAATCACTTAACTCTTTTTTTTGCTCTCATCCACCTAGACGACTTGCCCCTGTGTTGATGTTCTAGTCCCCTAGAACTTAACACGGTTTGAATACTTTCTTGACAGGTTCTTTTTTGTTATTTTCCTCCTGAGGCCTGATGGGTGACACTTTCACCACGGGATTTGTATTTGAGGTGCCAGTCAGGGAAGGAAAGGATATGTAGACTTAGTCTGGTTGTGCTTGACCAACACTGCTTTTAACCTCCTCTTGGTCATCCCTTGGGTCATCTCTCGGACCTCCTATATGTGCTTTCCCATTCCCCTTCTCTCTCTGGCTCCTCCACCAGCTCTTCCCTGAGACAGTCCACTCTTGAGTCCAGCTTCCTTGAGTGAGCAAGTGTGTAAGGCCTGGAACCTTTAGTTAGCTGTTATCTTGCTTTCGTTTGTACTGAGAGGTGTTTTTTATTGGATTTTGACATCTTCCTTCTCTTGTAGATCATCATTTGGTTTCAGGAAACAGGAGAGCTTGACGGAGCAACCGTCCCCTGAATCTGGGCTCAGGAAGAGACCCTGGACTGAGCTGGTGCTCAGCTTCACTGGCCTTGCTCTGTTCCCTGCCTGTGAATTGAGCTTTGTCCTTCCTGCCCCTCCTGACAGTTCAGTTGCCTCCTTATCTCCTGTCGCTGCCTGGGCTTGTTGTTCCTGTTTCTGTCCAAATCTCAATCTCCACGTTTGACTCTAGTCTAATCATCTGACCTTGACCCCAACCTTGGAGATGGCTAGGTCTGGCTATTCTGAAACTTGGGGTAGCACTTTGATCCCTGAGCAGGGGGTGTTCTTTATAGCAGGGACTCTCTTGTTTCTAAGTTTGCTGTGTTTTAGAATGTCTCTGAATAAGTGGGTCCTGTCACAGTGTTTGCTAGGGCAAGATACCGAAGCTTTTTTTTGTGAGTTCATTTTGGGTACGACATGTTTTTGTTATTTCCTTTCTATCATGATGTCAAGAATTATAGGCACGTGCTAGAGAAAAGCTGGCTGTTCAACAGCCATAAATGAAGTGAAGCCTAACTCATGTATTCACTGTTCAAATATTTGTTTGAATATTTACAATCACTGTTTCTTACTCGGTTCTTGTTTCTTGCTTAAGTTTCCTTTATTCTTACAAAAGTCCTGTCTCTGTGTAGTATAAAAGGATGGCTATTTTTGGTTTGTATGAGTTTTGACTCCTGAGAGCATTTAAAGTTATATTCACTTTTTTTCTTCTGAATAAGTAATTCTAACACCTCTATTCTTTTCCTTAGTTTTCAGGTCTCAATTTAAAAAATTTCTTAAGTCCACATGTTGCTGAGATACAGGACATGCTGACCCCGTGTATATGGAAATAACCCTAAGGAGGATTATCATTTTAGCAACAGGTTGCCCAATGAGTGAAAGAAATGAGGAACTGACTTTGTTCTTTTGTGTGGTTGGTTAGATCTTTGCGGTCTTTACATTTTAGTTGATTCTTGTACTTGCTTTTTAGATAACTGTATGGTGTCAGGATGCTCAGCTGTCTTTTTTTGACTGCCTTTTAAACTCTCATTTTCCTCTCACATCTTTGGAGCCAATAATTTCTGCTTAGCTGTTTTAAATCCCAAATTTTCAATTCTTCAAGTATTTCAATGAAGTGACACAAATGCATTAAGATAGGTTGGAGAAAATAACCCAGAGCTTATATATTATATTAATAATGTAAATCAATATTATAATTATTATACTATGATTATATTGCTATTATAGATCATATGATTATGTATTATATACTACATTTAATTTTCTTTTGTATGTTCCACATCATGGAACAAAATAGTTCTCTGTGCTGAGTTGTGATTTCATCTTGTTGCCACTTGAGGGCACATTAGACGCTGGTGAATACTCTGAGGCTGAATTGAAGGTTTGGCAGAAGGGTCCCCTTGTTGCTGAGGTACAGGACATGCTGTTAGAGTTTCTAGGTGGGTCGTTGGTCATAAGATGATGGCTCTTCTGCTTAGCTAGTGGTGTAGGTCGCCATCATTGTAACAGTGGAGTCATTTACATCCCTATTGTGCTTCTGTTTTTTGTAGAAATGAAACCACTTTGGTTTCACATGATTGCTGTAGACTGAGAAGGTGCAACCAGAATTACCATACATGAAAAGGTCTTTTAAGTCTTAGATAGGAACACACAGCTTCCTGTATGACTGTATTTATAACTGTTAAACAAGTTCAATGTAGGATGCTGGAGGATTCAGTTATTTTTTAATGAACTTTTGACCAAAAAGTGAACTTTTTTTTTTTTTTTCCTAAATTTTTATAGCAGCCTAATTATATGATTTTTCTCCCGACACACCCAGGGATGTTGGGAGAGTCTAATTTCCCATGGTCACCAGTCACCAGTGTGTCTCAGCTTGCCTTTCAAACTGCAGATTTTATTGATAAGTAGAGGGAAACCAAATAAATACTCCAGGAACCAAGGAAAAAGAAAGAAATCATCATGATAGTAGTTTAGAGGTCATTCTTTCAAAAATAAGGTAGTCAAAAAGAAAAAGAATAAAGCAACCCCAGCTCCTTTAGCTCCTGCTGTTTATTCCCTGTTGTCTTTTTTGTTTCTTTAAATCTTACTGAATTCATTAGGCAGTTAAACTAAATACTGTTGTTTCTTTGCTTGTTAAAATTTTGAGTGTATGTGTTAATATTGTTTTAACAAAAATATTTTTTCCACCTTTTTAGTGAATTTTTTCAGGAATTAGAGATTAGGCTTTATTTTCCTAGTAGGAAAGGAGCAGGTTTTGATTTTACCCAAGACTACCTCCCTTGCCTGGGAGTGCCTTCCTGAGCAGTGTACTAGGGAGTGGTGGGAAGGCTGCCAGTGAGCCCAGGTTTCAGGAAAGATGAAGTATGGGTGCTATATTAGCTCATCCTTACAGTTGCTGAGGAATATGCCTGGCTGTGGTTGGTGTCATGCAGGCAGGACTCTGCCTGTGTATGTCAGCCAAAAGCACTGTTCTCTTTGGTAGTCCGCTGCATGGTAGTACTTCCTAAGTTCCTGACTTAAATATTTAGGTCCTCCAGCCTACACCCACATGACAGACTTGCAGGAATTAATTCTGGAAAAAAAGGTTTTATAGGCTTCATGATTTCTTCCAGCTTGAATCAAGTGATGGATTTTTCTTGGAAGATTAACACCTCTTTATCTCTCTTGTTTCTTGCTATTCTAGTTACCTGAAAAACTGATACACAAATACAGCTGGATCAAGCAGTGGAAACTTGGGCTGAAATTTGATGGGAAGAGCGAGGACCTGGTTGAAAAAATTAAGGAATCCCTCACCTTGCTAAGGAAGAAGGTTTGGACAGTGTGGTTTCCTGCCTCTGACTAGTGTAGAGCTCTTACTCCCGATTTCCCCAGCATACTAGTTCTTAGTCTTTATTCAATGGGTTATCAGATGCTCTTGGCTGAGCAGGTTACACTGGTGCACACCTGTAGTCTCAGCTACTCAGAAGGCCAAGGCAGGAGGATTGCTTGAACCCAAGAGCTGGAGCCCAGTCAGGACAACATAGCAAGACTCTTGTCTCAAGCAACCCTTGGCCGATTTATTTATTTTTATTTTAGTTTATAAAGAAAATAATTTTATTTTGGAAAGAAAAGAATTTTATTTTGGCTCAAGACTCTAGAGGCTGGAATTGGCTAGTTTTTAGATGATTTTTTTTTTTTTAAGAACAAGTTTTTTGGAACAATATATAATAAAAAAGATGCAGAATACATAGAACATGACACCACTCATTTGCATTTTAAAATGCATTTTAAAACCACAATGATACCATATGATATATCCAAGTATACATTACTTTTTTTAGCTCTTTATGAATTGAATATATACATTTTAAATTTTGATGTCAACTACTCTTTCAAAAAGGCCCTCTAATTAATTAACATGCCTTTGATGATAGTGCCCATTTCCACACACACTTTACTCTTTACAAATATTGTTCCAGAAACTTGTCTTTATTCTTGCATGAATAGCTGTCTTTCACTTTTACATTGTATCCATGATAAGAATAAACTAATCCAATGGGGAAAAAAAAAGAATAAAAGATTTTTTATTCTATCAATATGCTTTTCTACAATTCATATACTTTGATATATAGGGGCGTTATTATCTATATAACTACTTAGAATTTTTTTTTTAAAATTTATTCTTTTAGATATACATGACAGAGTGTGTTTTGACTTTATACATACATGGAGTATGACTTATTCTCATTAGGATCCTATTCTTGCAATTGTACTTGGGGTGGAGTTTCACTGGTTGTGTATTCATATATGAACATAGGAAAGTTATGTCTGATTCATTCTACTGTCTTTCCTATCCTGTTCTCCCTCCCTTCTCTTCATTCCCCTTTGTTTAACCCAATGGATTTCTATTCTTCCCTCCTGTACCCTTAGTGTGTGTTAGCATCTATATATCGTATAGAACATTTGGCCTTTGGTTTTTTGGCATTGGCTTATTTCACTTAGCATAAAGTCTCCAGTTCCATCCATTCCCTGGCAAATTCCATCATTTCATTCTTATTTATGGCTGAGTAATATTCCATTGTGTATATATACCTAATTTTCTGTTATATCCATTCATATATACCTCCTTTCATCTGTTGAAGATCACCCAGGTTGGTTCCATAGCTTAGCTATTGTGATTGAGTTTCTATGAACATTGATGTGGCTCTATCACTGTAATATGCTGATTTTAAGTCTTTTGGATATATACTGAGGAGTGAGATAACTGAGTGAAATGGTGGTTCTATTTCAGATTTTCTAAGGAATCTCCATGTTGCTTTCCATAGTGGTTGCACCAATTTGCAGTCCCATCAGCAATGTATGATTGGATCTTTTTCCGCATATCCTTGCCAACATTTATTGTTACTTTTATTCTTGATAATTGCCATTCTGACTGGAGTAAGATGGAATCTCAAATTTTTAAGTGAATGCAAACTGTTCCCATGAGGTCTTTGGTAAAATGGAGGAATATCACCATTATCTATTCTTGGTTGAGATGTTGTATGCTAGTGTATCTATAACAATATGTTTAACTTTCTTAAAGGTAAACTTTAACAAATATAATCTTTGTTCTAATTCATATTTATAAGTTTCAGAGATACGATTTAGTTCATATTTCTTATATAGCAGTAAAACTAACTCAGGCTTATTAAGTTCTTCCCAGTTATGGTTTAATATTCTATCCCTATATCTTAAATACTTACTTTGTTTCCAGTGACTTCTCAATAAGGAGATTTCATAACTAATTGTTTGAAAAGTGTCCTAAGAATTTGTCTGAGACAATTCTGGGAGAACTTGGTCTGTGCTTCCTGGTGTTTTAAATTTTGTGTTTAAAATTCTCCCTGTGATTTTGCTCTCTCCTCTGAGTTAGATGTCCTGCGTGTATGTGGGCCTGCATTGACTTCTCAGTTGCTTGCTTTGAGCAACTTGGAGTTCCCTTCCTAGGTACAGTGAGCTTAGGGCCCATCAGTTGTTCCAGGCTTTGTTGGTGGAAGGAGCGGTCAGGTAAAGGGAAGTTAGAAAGAGGTTCTTCCTAGCATCACCTCAAGTGGTGATCTGTTCACTCAAATTTAGTCTCTCTGTCCTTGTTCAACTTTGAAATCCCCGAGAGACACCCTATTTCTTCCTTTGCACCTAGTCCTTTAGCAGCAAGCCTGATACATAATAGACATTTGGTTAATGCTTTTTTGATGAATAAACTGGGGCCCTGACTTTCTCAAACTTAGTTTTTAATACAAAGATAAGAAATGTTTACTGGAAAGTACACTGTCAAAGGAAGTTTCATCTTCCACTGTAAAGAAGTGGGAGAGAGAAAGGAAGAGGGGGTCTGTTCTCATTACCTGTTGGAGTGGAACTTAGGATTTTTGGGGACTGGATGCCTGTGCCTTCTCACTCCTGGGTCAGTGGAAGGTTGAGGGCAGGGCTGTGGCCCTGTGTGAGTGAGTGGGAGAGTGCTTAGCAGAGCTATAGGTAATAAGAAGGATCTGGTGAAATGCTATTTTTGCTTTATTGGGTATGACTACTATAATTAAAGTTTCATATTTGGGACTGTTTAGGTGAGGCCAATTTGTAATCACATTAAACTTATTCATTAATTATCTCAGCCAGTGTTACTAACTGTCCTCTGTGCCATGACGTACACTTAAGTTTCACAGGTTGTTTTATTGCTACAACCTTGACGTTGGTGTTGTTATGATCAGCCTTGTTTTATAGATGAAGAAACTAAGGCCCAGAGTTTGGTTAAACACTCTGCAAAAGCCATCAGTTGTTGGTGGTGAGGCCTTGTTTCCATCCTGATTCTCTGACTCCAGGTCCATGCTCTGGACTGTCAACTTGGTCTACTTATAGAAAATATGAAATGTGGACAACATGTTCTAGCTTTTAACCTAAATATTTGGGGGGTTCTGTGTAGTCATTACCATTAAAATTTGTTGAATTTAAAATCTCTGATGGCTTTTGAAAGGTACACAAATTATTGATTATTCATAAGGACTGTTATTTATATTGTCATCTTTTTACTCATTCACTATAACTTAAAAGCACATATATTTATAGGGTTTTCTTGTTCACTTAAGAAGTTTGCCTATACTAACTGAATACCTGATACTCTGCTTTATTCTTAATCAGGAGTCAGAATGGATTTATTTAATATGAAGCTCATGTATATTTTTAATAGGTTAGAGGGTAAGTTTAATAAGCTAAAGATCCCACAATGTTTTTTGCCATCTTCCATTTTAGATGGTAGGTTTTGTTTCTGGGTGGTCACTGTTTGTGAAAACCCTTCAAAGGATAGTTTTAGCTCCCTACTACATACAGCTCCACACACAGGCCTCACATAGACACGTTAGCTTTTTCATTAGTATCTCTGCCTGCTTAGTTCAGTCTCATCCCCTGGGATGTTAGAGGAGTCAGAAGTTCATCCCGTGGCCCAGGGCTTCTCCTTATCGCATTGTGCTTCTGTTTTAGATTAGTGGGGGAAAGGCTGAACTAGGAATTGTGTGATCTTAAGAGTACCATTGATTGATCTAAAACTTAAAAACATTGTGGCCACATTAGGATGATTTATAGTCCCTACTTTTGAACATAATTCTGTATTCATAATATGGAAGTATACCAGGGATTTTTAGAACAAAAATTCTAACTATTACATAACTTCCTTATTGTAGTGGGCAAGCCTGGCTGAAATGAGAACTGCTGAAGCAAGGCAAATGGCTTGTGATGAACTGTTCACAAATGAAGAAGAGGAATACTGCCTCTATGAAGCTGTAAAATTTCTAATGCTAAACAGAGCCATTGAACTATATGATGATAAAGAGAAGGGAAAGGAAGTACCATTTTTCTCTGTGCTCCTGTTTGCTCGGGACACATCGAATGACCCTGGACAGCTACTGAGGAACCACTTAAACCAGGTGGGACACACTGGTGGCCTTGAACAGGTGAGTTGTGTCTTTGGAGTGCATTACCTCAAAACACAGCAGTGTTAACTGTCAAACATCTCAGTGTTTGTAGGTCAGGAATTCAAGAGCAGCTTAGGTGGTTGTGGCCGATGGTCACATAGATTTAATCATGTTATTTGGGGCTACAGTCTTCCTTGGGGTTGAAGGATCTACTTCCATGGCCTATTGACATGGCTCTTGACAGAGGTCCTTAGTCCTTACAGTTAATAGGAGGGCATGGTTCCTTACCATAGGGCTTCTTGGGTGTCCTCATGACATGGCAGCTGACTTTTCTCAGAGTGGTCCACGTAGAGAGCAGGGAAGTCTCACACAGGCACTTATACCATATTCTGTTTGTTAAAAGCCAGTCACTAAATCCATTCAACTCTCAAGAGGAGGGGAATTGAGCTCTCCCCTTTCAAGTGAGGTATGTCTCTCCCCTTTCAAGTGAGGTATGTCGAAGATGTGTAGTCCTGTTTTATAATCATTAACAGTATTATTCTGGACTTTTCTTCTGGGGGTGATGGATATAATTAGTACCCTTGGCTCTGGAAGGGTAGACATAAATGAAGCATGTGGAGGAGCCATTTGAAGGTCTTGTTTACATAGATGCCCATAACAGTCTTGTTCTTAAAGCAATAGTTGAGTCACCACACCTTGAATAGCCAACCCTTGAGGCTGCCCCATTCTCCTTACACGGCAGACTCTCATACCACTTTTTCCTAAAAGGCCCGAGTGCCAGGACAGATATTGCAAGGAGTAGAGAGCTGAGTTGAGTTCCCGCTGAGTCATCCTGGTGGGTGGAAATCTGTTCCATTGTTTTTCTCAGTGTGTCACTGCTGGGCCAGGCAGGATGATTAATATAAAAAAATTATCTGTATGCATAATGTGGGTTGCTCACATCTCCTGAACCATTGCTAATACTTTGTAATAAAAAGCCTAGGAGAGTGTGGTTTGCATGTCAGACTGAAGTTAGTCCTTTATGAGATCCTACAAGGTCTTCTACAGTAGTGTCCATTCTTTTAATAGCAGCTTTCTTGAAATGTAATTTACATATCAACAAGTTCACCCTTTTAAAGTTTTGAAACTACCACTTGCAGTCTCATTTTAGATCAATTTACCACCCCCAAAAGACACCTCAAACCCATTAGCAGTTACTCTCCCTTCCGTGTAGCTCTGGGAAACCACAAAGCTACTTTCTGTCTCTAGTTTGCCTATTCTGGGCATTTCATATAAATGGAGTCATATACTGTGTGGTATTTTGTGACTGGCTTCCTTTGTTTAGCATAATGTGTTTAAGATTCATCCACATACTGCTGCATGGATCAGTACTTCATTCCTTTTTATTGAAAAGCAACATCTCATTGTATGAAAGTATTGTATTTATTCATTTGTTAGTTTTGACAGGTATTTGGGTTGCCTCCACCTTCTAGCTACTAGGAATAATCCTGCGGTGGACATTCAGGGATGATTTTTTGTGTGGACACATGTTCTCTTGATTATATGCCTAGGAGTAGAATTGCTATGGCAGATGGTGATCCTTTGTTGAACATTTTGAGGAATAGCCATACTGCATTTTAAAATAGTTTGTGCCAGTTTACACTCCCACCAGCCATGAATTAGTGTTCCATTTCTCCACATCTTTACCAGCATTTTGACTATCTTTTTTTAAAAATTGGGATGAAGTTCACATAACATAAATAATCATTAAAGTATGCAACTCATTGACATTTAGTACATTTATGGTGCTATGGGATCACCATCTCTATGAAGTCCAAAATATTTTCATCACCCCCAAAGAAAACCCTGTATTCTTTAAGGAGTCACTCCCCATTGTCATCTGGCTTTTTAAAATATTTTTTTTATTACTTTTTAAGTTGTAGGTGAACACAATACCTTTATTTATTTTATATTTATGTGATGCTGAGGATCAAACCTCTCACATGCTAGGCAAGTGCTCCACCACTGAGCTACAACCCCAGCCCGTGGCTTTTTTATTATAGCCATTCTAGTAGGTGTGAAGTGGTATCTCATTGTGGTTTTGATTTACTTTTCTCTAATTACATAGGATGTTGAACATCTTTTCATGTGCTAATTTGGCCACTTGCATGTCTTCTTTGGAGACATGTCTTTGCAATCCTTTGCCCAGTATTTAAGCTAGAGATATATGTTTTTTAATATCTTTGTTTTATTTATTTATTTATTATTTTTTATGTGGTGCTGAGGATCGAACCCAGTGCCTCTCACACGTGAGGCAAGCGCTTAACCACCGAGCTACAACCCCAGCCTCTGGTTATATTTTTTTAATTGTTGAGTTGTAAGTATTCTTTATATATTCTGGGTATTACCAAATGTAGGATCCATTCTTGACTATCTCCTTTTTTTTTTTAAAATAAGAATTGGGACTGAGTCCAAAGGAGAGGAGGAAAAAGGTTGCAGTATAAGCCACTACTGTGTGTGTGGTCAGGGTAATAGATGGAACATGGTGTTAGACCCCGTCTTTTGGTGTGGCTTCCTTAAGAATCCCATTTGCTCTTTCTCCACAGGTTGAAATGTTCCTTCTTGCCTATGCTGTGCGCCATACCATCCAGGTGTACCGGCTCTCCAAGTACAACACTGAAGAGTTCATTACAGTCTATCCCACTGACCCACCCAAGGACTGGCCGGTGGTGACCCTCATCGCTGAGGATGATCGGCACTATAATATCCCTGTCAGAGTATGTGAGGAGACAAGTCTGTGAGAGACTCACCTGCCTGGACAGTCTGAGGATATGGCAAAAGTGCACAGGCAGCTCCTCAGCTTGGGCCTCAGGCCTCTGCTGGTCTCTAAGAACAGTCTGTGAGAACTCTTGGGCCCCTGGGAGCCAAGTTGGACTGGGGTGTTCTGAAGACTAACTTTTCATAATAAGAACAACTGTTTTCCCTTATCTGGGACCCAGTGTGTTTCATTGGGACCTTCAGAGCATACCTTTGGAAAGTGCGTACTGCATTTCCATAAAGCAGATACTTTTGTATTAGAGGAAACTCATTTTGAAGAATATATTCATGTCTCAAGTCAAAATTCTCTCTACTGGTAAACTGGCTTTTAAGTTTTAAGATGGTAATTTTTCTTTGGTGGAAATGGGTGTCTGTAGTGATCATTCTATGCAGTCTGCTTAAGTGGTATAATTCTGGGAGATTTGTTAATGGCACAGTCATACCATGCTCTGATATTCTCATCTTCTTATGGAGGGATGAGCAGTGATTCGGACTTACATATTAAGTAATGCTATTTTAAGCAGATGGTCTCATAGAAGATGAAGAATTGGGCCCCAGAGTGGGTTGTTTGGAGGCTTTTTTCAAGTTTGGAGGAGATACAGTGGAATCTAGTGATTGTTACAGGTGTCTACTGTCCCCAATGTTCCAGAGTCTGGGACATGGTACCAGGTCCCTATTAGCATGGATGAATGTTTCTTGTAGTTGTACTCCAGTGTCAGGGGCTGTTAATTATTCTAAAGTTCCAAAGAGTCACAGTTTTATAGTTAAAACAGAGTTTATATCCACCCATGTGTTTAGAGGAGGAATCTAAGGTCATATGATTTCAGTCACTGCTCAGAGTTCAGAGGTGGGGACAAGCTGGGCTCCTGATCTTCTCTTGCCCTTTTCATGCGGTGTTTAAGGGTAGCATCATTGCCAGATCCATGTAATGGGCTGATACCCTGTCTGCTGGCAGGGGATAAATAACAGCAACCAACCTGAGATTTTTCCTGAGCAAGCTAAAGCAACAGTGTGCAGAAGGGTGGCTGAGCCACATGTGTCCTTGATTTGGCTTGGGTGGCCTGAGAAAAGCAGTGATGACCTGCTGGGCACAGGCGAGGTGTTTACTGGAGCTGCTAAAGGGGACAGTGCTGCTGAGCTGGTCTGCAAGGGATGTGTACTGTGGTCATTGTTCATGTGAACCAGACACATCACTCTTCAGTATTCTTTTGGCGGCACCTGAATTGGCTCAACATTTGTGGAGTTGATGTTTCCTTCAAGTACTGAGCTTATTTTATAATAATTAAAATCTATTTGATCTAATTTAATATGATTAATAAGTTTTCTACACTTTTGAAAATCTGTGTCTCTGTTAATAAAAAATTAAGTCTTAAGAAAGCTCAGCCTGCACAAAGTATTCAGACTGTTACATTAGTACTTTTCCTAGTACCTACTTGGTGATATTCACCACATTTTACTAGACGTGTATCAATTAGCATTTTGAATCAGATTCTATAAATGTATGTGAATACTTTAGAGAGGCTTTGTGCTTTTCACAGTGAAATACATTGGTATCTTAAATAAGGAGGTACCTAGAAGCCCAATTAAAGTAATAATAATGACTTCTTGGCTTTGACAAGTTTAGTATTTGTAACTATATGATTCATTTATGAGCATTCTTTTAGAGCACAGCTTGAAATATTTAGATTATACTTGGCAATAGGGATTTGTGCCCTTGGGATATATTGAATCTGACCATTGGTTCATATACATTATTGAATGTGAATAATACGATATTAAACCTCATGATTAATGCATTTTGAAAATGTTCTAATCTTAGTGAACTTGAACTGGACTTCTGGGCAATTTGCTTACATTTTATATTTAAATCTACCGAAATTGTAGTTTTAGCCACCACATTGGTAAAAATTTGAAAGGGGGTGTTATTTTATGTTGCTTATTGTCCAAAGACCTTCTCACACTGTGCTATCAGACTGTCATCCAGGTTTAGCAGAATAACATCAGAAAAGAAAGCTTTCAAAGAAATAGTACTTAATGAAATAGAAATGATTAATTCATTTAAAAATTCTTTTTTTTTTTTTGGTTGCAGTATTCAATTTTAGTTGTTCAGAGTCTTAATTTCATTTTTCATTTTTGGTCTTGAGCTGGTGGAGTGACATCAATAGTATAGAAATTGAATTAAGATAAAAATGGATTCAAGAGGATAATCTACTTAGAGGGATCTTTAAAATGGTATGGTGTTCTAGAAGAGGGCAAGGTAGTGAGAACTACACTATGCTTAATTTCTAAGAGTTTATATTGCAAGAGTTCAGAAGTTTAGAGATATTGGCAGAACTTAAACCTTTGAGCTCCTTTAAGGCACATTTAAACCTGAAAGCATTTCTCTGTGTCGTGTCCCATGGAATTAACATTGCTTTTCCAGAACATTTTCAGATTCTCCTCCTCGCCTGAACTGGATGTACAGCATCCACTCTGCACTAGGATCAGTGATGGCAGTATCAGGGAATAGGCAGCAGCTATGGTCTCCAGCTTGTGATTTGAGCATATGTGGGGTTTGGTCTGCAGTGTCACCATTCCTTCTCTCTAGAATGAAAATGTTTTAAGTGCACACAGAGCAGGATTAATCCTGTTTTCTTTATATAGCCACTTATACTTTTATTACACTATAATAAATTCTCTTAATGTCTACTAAGATGTTTTCCTTGGTTAAGGAGAGCAAATATTGGTTTTGAATCCTTTTGTTCCACTCCCCTCTAGTTTTAGAGTTTATCAGGTAAAATCTCAGGCCAAATGAATTGATAACACCTCTTTTGGAAAAAGCATTTGTAGATTTTTATGGGCTTTATCTTTTTTTCCCTCCTCCTTCCTTTGGTTAGAGGCTCTGTGTTGTTCTTCCTGTCCTTTCCCTCATCCCAAGGTGCTGTTCTAAGAGTTAGTAGTTTACTTTTATGAAGACTTTCCAGTTAATGACTGAGGTGCAGTGTCATCTTTAATGATATAGTGCCCCTGCCATCTGAACATATACATAGGACTTACAGAGCTGGGTCTTCTTTTGATATTAAAACATGGCTTGGTCATTTTTTAATGTGTTTTTCTTAAGCAGTACTTACAGATTCTCCCCTTTGAAGACCAGAAAATATTTTCAGAAGCATAAACCAGGGGGGAATCACTTCTGGTATGCACAAAAAATGCCTTAATTTTAAGATCTGTGACTGCTAGAAAAATAAATAGAAAGCCTTCACTGCATGTGAATCTGAAATGTGGGTGAAACATATAAAATCCCCAAATAGTATAACAAGGCAGGGTAAAATATCAAGTAATTTAAAAATGGCCTAAGGAGAGACTGGGGTTGTGGCTCAGTGCTTGCTTAGCACATGTGAAACTCTGGGTTCCATTCTCAGCAGCACATAAAAATAAATAAATAAATAGTTTTTTCTTTTTTTTTTTAAATGAATGCTATAAAAAATATGGCCTAAGGAACTATGAAGAGAAGTGAGGATGAGGAACTGATTTTAGAATAACCTTTAAAGTGTCATAATAACAGAGCAGTAAATACACAGAAGGTAAGATCTTCTGTGCTTAGTTTTTTTTTTTTTCTTTTTAATTGGTTCTTTTTAGTTGTGCTTAGGTTTTTTAAAAAAATATTTTTAGTTGTAAGTGGATACGATATCTTTATTTTATTTCTATATAGTGCTGAGAATCGAACCCAGGGCCTTACATGTGCCAGGCAAGCACTCTACCACTGAGCCACACCCCAGCCCTGTGCTTAGGTTTTAAAAAGAGAAGAATCTGAATGAATGGGAGGACTTATGTGCATGGATTCCACAAATTCATATTTCTAAAATGTAAATCCTCTATTTAAGAGAAGTATAGTCTTTAATGCATAGCTTCTTTGGGAAACATTGTGATCTCTCCTAGGGCGATGGAGAGACCAGGGAGCCCGTACTGATTTGTGCAGTGGTTTAGTGAGGTTGTGGGGAAGGACATAGGCAACTGATTTTATAATATTGATTTAATGGTCTTGTAATTCAGTTTGTAACCTAGAGCCATGAAAAGCATCAAATTCAATTGGCAGATGGTTTGGCCATCTGCTACCCTGGGCTTTTCCTGGAGGTAGTATCCGTAGGAGCCTGGTGGGTTTGGCCATTACCAGAAGAGGTATGTGGGTACCTTTTTTTGAGTGTACCCATGCTGGCCTACAGTCACTGCATTCCTTTCTTTAGGTGGGTGGTAGCCCCATAGCTTGGGACGTAGTAGTATTTTGAGAGGGTGGATGTGAGCTGTCCCATGTGATTCTGTATTTTTTTTTCTAAACAGTAAATTGAAATTTATAATTGGGAATGGTAAAATGAATTGGTATGTATATTGAAGATGTGGCGGCCATTAAGTCTGGAAACATGTTAATCATTCTGAAACATCATATCAGTAGGCCATTTCTTATGTCTCTCTTCCCAGGCCTCCTTATAGCATTTTGAATGCCCAGAGGCTTCAGTAACATTAATGGAGGAGGACACTGATTGGAGTTTAATTTCAGTTAAGCCCATTGATTTCTTAGGTGTAATTTTGGGTCAGGAATGAAATTGTCAAATATGGGTCAATACAAAGAAAGAACACTGGATTCAAAATATCCACAGTCTTGGTAATTATATTCCTAGTAACCAAGGGTGCTTGAGCTTAATTATAACTTCAAAATAATTTTTTATACTCAGTTTTAGGAACTTTCACTTATATATTGAAAAATGCCTTGATTTATATTCACATAAGTGGTGCTAAAAATACAGCACCTTTTAGAAGAACCTCAGGAATCCATAGTGATGGTGATGACTTGGGAGTATTTCAGTGTGGGAACACAGCCAGAATTAATGTATTTAGGGATATCTCTTCTCATTTTTATTATGTTTGTAATACTCTTTTGGTGTTGGTACCTTGCTTTTGGCAGTTTCTAACTTTCTATATTATGGATTTGAGGAGGATAACAGCCCAATGTTGTAACTTCTGCCAGAGTTGATGGTGTTTTTCTTCCATGGGGGAGTCTGCTGTGAAGGGAGAGCACCCGTGGGAACCCAACCCTGCTAGCCTCTGGCTTGTTTAACATCATCTCCTCTGTTTACACTATAAGATGTTTGAACTTGCCAAAAATTTCTCCTGTTTTGAAAAACATGCCCCTGAGGTTCTGGACAGTTTGAGGCCTTACTTCTCATTGGCAAACTCATCCAGATTCCTGGCTCATAGGGCAAGAGTTTCCTGTCACCTGTTGAGTCTCTCGTCTTCACTGTAGGGGCCACTCCTACTCTTGGGTTTTGCTGTTGATCCCCTTTAGCAAACCTGGATGCTGAGGATTGTAAAAATAAATAACTAAAAATAAACTCAAAAAATAAAACTCAGAAGCCTGGCTGTGTCACTGTAGTTAAATGCCTGCTTTTGAGGACTTTGGCAGACTGTGATCTAATGCTTTAACTTTCCAGCGCCCCCGGGCAAGCCTGTGGTGTCCAGGTCAGTGACTCTTGATCTCACTCCTGCGCTTTGGAGTGCAGGAATCAATTCTGGGGAGGCCTTGTTGGGCAGAGATAGAGTTAGATGAGGTGAAGTGATTAGCACATACCTTCAAAAACGGTGCACAGTTTTGGACTTAGACCTGGATTAATGAGCAGTCCCACTACTCGATTCTAGCAGGGTTGAGTGAGGGTGAATTACTGAACCTCCTTAAATCTCAATGTCTTCAACTCTACCTTGCATAGTCGTCTTATCTTGGATGCTCGTGTGGATTAAGTGAGATGCCAGCATGTAATAGATTTAGAGCCTGCAAGAGCGGGGCTGCAGCCCAAATCCTGACCCAGCCTTGCTTGTGTTTGCTGAGCGAGGCCAGCTGTAACCATTTCAGCTACTGGAAATGTAATAGCAAGAACTAATATGTGTTGTATATGAGTTAGGATGTCACTGAAAGAAGTTAATAATCTAAAAATGGGGCCAGATGTTCACAGGCATTGCAAGAGCAGAGGATGAAGGATGAGCCTGCAGAGTTGTGCCTTCCTCATAGTCAAGGAAATGCTGAGGGGCTGGGGATGGGGCTCAGTGGCGGAGCACCTGCCTAGCATGTGTGAGGCACTGGGTTCGATTCTCAGCACCGCATATAAATAAATGAATTCAATAAAATCCATCAACAACGAAAAAGTATATTAAAAAAAAAAAAAAAAACAGAACTGCTGAGTCTGAAGTACTGCAAAATGGTGCTGGACTTCTGAAGGACCTACTGGCTAGGGATTGGGCATCCTCTAGAAAACAGTGTTAAGCTGGTAATGGGCAGCAACAACAAACCATTCTCCTTCACTGTCCCATTCATGGGGGTTCATCAGCTTTTTCAGTGTTGCACATAAATACACTTTCTCCCTCTACTTGTCTGAGTTATGGTGCTCAGCTCAACTTTGAGGCCAGTGCTTCTAGCACTTCCTCCTCCTTGACCTTCTTTCACCCTGGGAGTGGAGAGAAAAACTGTGGTCCTGACAGTGGGTCTTCTGGAAGCCCTTCTGAAGGTTTTACAACCTCCAAATGGTAAAGAGAAGCCCAGCTGCTTAGCTGCTTTAGTGTGGTTAAACAAGCAGGTATTTATCCAATATGTTTTTATTCACCCCTCTGCCTTGCCCAAACCTTGGACATTCTGCATTTTCTCTTGTTTTCTTCTCCTTTTGTCTGGGCTCTGTTGCCTATTTATACTCTTTGCCTGTTACATTGCTCTCCTTCCCTAATTTGAGTGTGTGCTTGAAACCTCTTGTCAAACTACCCTGTAGAGTGGTCCTGT